AGTAGAGCTGCTCAGAATTATAAGAGACCTATCAGTGGAAGGGAGATGGAGGCAATGAAGGAAGGATAAGAAAATGGCATATTTGGTACTAAAATATGTTCTTATTTGGTGTTTTCTTTTCATGTTTATTTTTCATGTTTACAATACTGTTAATAAATTGTAGCAGTCCTTCCCATGGAGCCACAATACATATTTGGAATCTTCCCCTACACTATAGTCTAAGAAGCTACTACCCATCACCTGAAGGTGACATGCTATGTAAAATCTGTTTGCTATGATTTACTTAATTTTGCTGTATGCTGTTTTTTTTGTATTAGAGTTACATTAAATTTTCAAAATAAATTAAAACCCTTTTTCATGTCTTTTTTATGTAACTAGGGTGTTGTGAATGACATTTTGGGTTCACAAAAGAGCTCAAGATCAGCATAGCTCCTTACCTTCCCAACATGATCACTGAAGACAAAATGGGTACATAAGTAAATGTGGTGAAGAGAGTTGATGGTGCCAGGATATCAAAAGATGTACCATCTGAGGTCTTAAAGGCTTTAAGATAAACAAGCGGCCACCTAGCTAAGAAGCAACAAAGCCCACATGGAAGAAGCACACCAGCCTGTGTGATCATGAGGTGTCGATGGGACCAAGTACTAGGCATCTAAGATCCAGGAAAAAAAATCATACCCAAAGTGAAGGGGGGCGGGCATGGAGTGGAGACCCAGTGCCCATCTGTAGACAATTGGACATCCCACTAGAGAGGGGTGACAGGGAAGAAATGAGCCAGTCAGGTGAAGTATAGCACGGATGAAACACACATCTTTCCTCTAGTTCTTTGGTGCTTCCTTCTCCCCACTATCATGACCTCAATTCTACCTTAAAAATTGGATTAGACCAGAACATGCACACTGCTACAGATAAGAGCCTGTAATACAGGGAATTCAGGATAGATTAAACACCCTAGGGCCAACAATAAGAGTAGAGATTCCAGGAGGATTAGGAGTGGGTGGGGGGAAGAAAGGGGGAATCAATCACAAGGATCAATCTATAACCCCCTCTCAGGGGAACGAACAACTGAAAAGATGGTGAGAGAGATGGAGGAAGATGTAAGATATGAAAATAATGTATAACTTATTAAGGATTTGTGAGGGAGGGTGGGCAAGGGAGGGAAGGGCAAGAAATAGGGAGCTGATATCAGTGACTCAAGTGGGAAGATAATGCTTTGAACATGGTGATGGTAGCGTATGTGCAAATGTGCTTGACACACTGGATGAATATATGGATTGTGATAAGAGATGTAAGAGCCCCCAATAAAAGTATTTAATTTTAAAAACGATTAGTATAACTCATTGTGTAAAGTGGCTCTCTAGCTTTAGACCAAGAGGTAGTAGAACTTCCATGGGATATGGAAAGCAGGTATTCTAGGGAAAGCAAGGTAGTCAAAAGGGATAATGACTTTAGTAAAATACAGAGGGATTATGCCTGGAGCATAAAGATTACATGGTAAGTATATATTCATTTTGAGGAGTTTGGGTAATAATGGAAAAATAGAGAGAGGTAGACATGGAACAAGAGAGAATTTCTTGGGAAATGAGGAAAAAAAACCCGGAATCATCTTGCATATTCTGTCTGGCAAAATCCAACAAAGAAGGATGTCCAATAGATGCGGAAATCATGATGAACTAAAGTATCCCATTATTGACTAAAGCAACCCATCTCTGAGAAGGTGAAACAGGATAGGGTGCCAGAAAATAGAGGTTGACTCTGACTTTGAACAGGATGTAAGGCTATTTATGTAGGTCAAAATTGACTTAATGGCCACGAATTTTATTTGTCTGTTTAGTGTAAGTGAATAAGCATAGAGCTGCTTCAAGTAGTGATAAGCTACCCTGTAGCATATCCTAATAAAAAGAGGGGTGTAGATAAATACATAGTTTTGGTTGTTGTGGTAGAAGGACCAGGGAACAAAGGCAGTGAGTGTTCCCAGTACTTGTCCCATAATAGATACATGGAGAGTGGCTGATGTATGGACTGTAAGATCCAAGCTGGTTAGGGATAGAACAACAATGATGATGAAGAGGATTGATGCAGTCCAAGTATAAATATTGTTTATTCAAGAAGTACCACATTTTCTTGTGCACACATATGTCTTCAGCGATCATGTCGGGAAGGTAGATATCATGAAATGACCATTTAGCTGAGCAAGGAGCTCTTGTATTGGGGGAGTGCGCATGAGGAGGCCCAATGTCCACCCGCCACCCTACTACCAAACCTATAATTATTTGCACCTAGGTCCGTTCCCCCCTTGATCTTAAATATATTTACATATGTACATGTCTGTATTTAGGCTTGTATGTATGCCCTTTGCCTCCTACTTCTTTCCTCTATTTCTTTATGCTTTCCTCCAGTCCCAATACCATGTTCAGCCTTCATTCTGGTTTCGGTAGTTCCTTGCAGTTGCCTTCCCCTTGGTCACTCCCTATCAGTCCTCCCATCCCTTCCCTACCATTGGTTTTGAACCAATTGTTGTTCCCTTGTCCCTAGGTTGGCCAACCCCCCTCACTTCCCCTACCTCCCACACTCCCATGTCCCTCTGGGGCCATCAGTCCCTTTATTTTCTGCTCATATATATGTATTTTTTTGTCCAATGTCTCTTATCTAGGTGGGTGTCAAAGCCCACATGGAAGCAGCACACCAACATGTGTGATCATGAAGGGCCAAAGGGACCAGGCTTCAAACACCAAAGGCGGGGAGAAAAATCATATCCTCATCAATGAGGGTGGCGCGTGATGGGGACCCAATGCCCATCTCTAGACAACTGGACATACCTTGCAGAGGGGTAGTGGGGAGATGAGTCACTTAGGGTTCAGTATAACAATAATGAAACCCACAACCTTCCTCTAGTTCTTAAACACTTCCTCCCCCCAACTACCAGGACCCCAATTCTGCCTTGCAGATCTGGCTAGACCAGATGATGCACAGCGGTACAGATGATAATTGGAAACGCAGGGAATCTAGGACAGATGAACCCCTCAGGACCAGGGGTGACAGTGGCGATACCAGGAGGGAAGGGGAGTGTAGAAAGGGGGAATTGATCACAGGGAGCTACATATAACCTCCTCTCTGGGGGATGGGCAACAGAGGGGTAGGTGAAGGGAGACGCCGGGCAGTGTAATATAAGATATAATAATAATTTATAAATTATCAAGGGTGCATGGGGGAGGGGGGCAGAGGAAGAGAGGGGAGGGGGGAAAAAGGAAAATGATCTGATTCCGGGAACCCAAGAGGCAAGCAAATTTTGGGAATGATGAGGGCAACAAATGTATAGATGTGCTCTACACAATTGATCTATGTATTGTGATGAATTGTATGAGCCCCAATAAATTGATTAAAAAAAAAAAAAAAGAAGTACCACTTGCCTGTCTTCTTTGTGGTTGCTAAGTTCATTCAAGTTGGTTCTGACCCATAATGGTCCCGTATACAACAGAACAAAACATTGCCGGGTCTTACACTATCCTCACAATTATTATTATTTTTGAGCTCATTGTGTCAATCTTTGTAGTAAAAACAAAATAAATTAAAAACTCCACTACCACAGAGTTGATACCAACTAATATCAATTTTATGTAGAGTTTCCATGATAGTAAATGTTTATAGGAGCAGACAGCCTCATCTTTCTCTCGTAGTGTAGCTGGTGAGTTTAAACATTAACCTTGTAGTTAACAGCTAGATACCTGGACCACAGCACTGGGCCAAGTGCTATTGCTGTTACTGTTAGGTGTCATTGATTTGGCTCTCATTCAGCTACAAAACTGCATGGTTCTGCACCATTATCACAGTCATGTTTATGCTTGAACTCAATGTTGCAGCCACTGTGCCAACATCTCATCAAGTTTTTGTTGTTGTTGGCTCTCAACTTTACCAAGCATGATATCCTTTTTCAGAGATTGGTCTCTCTTGTTAAAATGTCCAAAGTATGTGAGAAAGTCTCACCATTTTAGCTTCTAATGATCCTTATGGATATACTTCCCCTAATATAGATTTGTTTGTTCTTCTTACAGGCCATGTTACTTTCAATATTATTTACCAACACCATAACTCTAGTGCTAGACTCTAAATGTAAGGGTGAAAGTGTCATGGACTCAGTCACATCGCTCATCAAGGAACAAGACCCACAGGTACTCCCAGGGAAGTATCTTTTCTTCTGTCTTTGGGTATGCTGCTCCAGAACCCTTCTCTCAAGAATTCCTCACCCTTTCCCCACCTCCACAGCACTAGATCTACTAAGTAGGATTTTAAAGACAGTGGAAAAATTCTCACAAGGACCTCTTTACCCCTATTGCGAGCAATAATAGAAAGCTTTATTATCAGAGAATAAGAATTTAGAAAGAAAAAGTAAACTTAATCTAGAGCTAGACAACTCAAGACCTATTTTGGAGCTGTTGAGAATTTCTTCACTGGAAGCACTGCAAGGCTCTCCCAATAAGACCAAGGGCATAGTTTTCTCAGGGCAGTAGAATAGAAAGAACATAAGCTCCACTGGGATGGAAGAGGATAAGAAGCAGCATTTTTGTATTCTGGAAAAGGTTCAGTAGTGGGCAGGGACAGTGTCCAGGGCTTCTTCAGATTCCCTGGTGATGTCCACATTCTGAGAAAAGAGAGTCCAGCATTAATAGAAAGTAGGCAGAAGTGTATGGCCCCAATCCATCCTCTGACCTTTATCCTAACGAATAGGTTCCCCTCCTGTATCCAGACCTGGATCCTAACCCACCCTTCTGACAGGCCTGAGGGGGGATCTCATCCAGAGACCTTTTGGGCAGCATTACTCTAGGCCTGTGCCTTAGATTTCTGCTATTTCTGCTGTTTATTTTACTTGTTACAGGTTCTGTGGAATTTGGGAAAATGTTATGTAAATGAGAAGCTCTTACTATGTGGTTTGTCGACAGATAGCCTAGGCCATGCCATAGAGTCCCGCACTTACCTCCGGCTTCTCGCGATGTGTGTTCACTGCTTCCACATTCAGGTAAATAGACTCCACTTTGCAACCTCAGAAAATAACATCCCCTCCATAAATTTCCAAGGTATGCACAGTTTTTTTATGAGGTGCCATCCCTGCTCTTAATATTCACCTTGTAGGGGAGGAATTTAGACTAGCTGTGGGGTATATAGAAAATACCTGAGAAGCAGCAAATAGGCTGTCCTTCCAACTCTATCTCTAGGTTTCCATTATTCATTTATAAACGGGGATGGGGATGAGGTGATCTATGGGGTCTTTCTTAACTCTTGTAGTCTGTAAGATAGAAATCTATACAATATTGATGGAGCTCTGCAGCCTCCAGGCCCTGTTAACTGTTGGAGTAGTCAAAGAGACCTTAAGCCACTGCCTGGAGGTGATCAATCCTAGGTAAAGCGTATTAGGGGACAAGATGGTTAAAGTAACACCAGAGGTGTGGAAAGACATAGGAAATTCTATAAGGAGAGAGGTATCAATGGGTCCTGGGGCAGTTCCAGAAGGTCCAATGCATGTTAAAGCTGTTAACTCTATACAGGTATACTACACCCCTCTTCAAGCTTCATATGTCATTTGGTTTGGTCCCTTCCCTGCTCATGAGACTTTAATGGTGTCCAGGAGAGAGTTTAAATAGCCCAGGCTGCACTTTCAGGCAATTCTTCAATATAGTCCCAACCTAAATTTCTTCCTTGGTCCCATTGGCCTCCCAATCCAATTTTTCATGTTATTTACTTGCTCTACTACTCACCCAACTAGGCATATTAAAATTCAAATACTGCTGAAGGTGAGCCCTTCTGTAGCTTGATGCTCTGACAGAGAGAGAAAGTTGGGGCCAGATCCCTCCCTCATTTAGAGGACATTCTAGGCTTTCCCTGTTCTCATTCTAGTTCTACAAATCTTACCTCTACCAAGACATCTACCTACCTAGTGAAAGGATCTCCTCCAAGACTCTCTGGGTACAGAGGCATGCTCATGGCCTCTCTGTGTCTATCCTTGAAAGAAGTGGGGCACTTACCATAAGCCACAGGTGTGAGTTTGAGCACTGTGTGCAGAGGACACTTGAGATAGGGCAGCTCTTCTGTAAAGGAGAGAGAAGCCTTCAGAGCAGGGTAGTGCTAGAGAAGGGTACCATCTTTCAGGCTCCAATCTTGCAGCACCCCTTAACTTTCTAGCTCCCCTTTCTAGAGGTCTGCCTCACCAAATCACAGAGCCTATACTCCTATAATCTGTAGGGGGCAGTGTTGAGAATGGGTTGGACAAGAAGGAGAGAACAGGGAGGTGGCCTCTGGAGCAGGAAGGGAGGAGGGACCAGGGAAATGTAGACAAACTGTATGTCCCATAGGAGGGTCAGTCTGATCACCTCAGTTCCAGGCATATATCCTCACTAATGGCACAAACAAGAGACTAGGACAGGACTCCTTCTTATCCAGTTTAGGCCTTGCACAGTGCTCCCATCTCAAAGGACCACAATTTATCTTAGCAAATCTTTCCTGAGAACCCACTATGGGCCAGAATCCAAGGCTGAGGATTCCTATCACTTGAAACTTCCCACAACTCTCTTCCCAGCCTAGGCTACTCTATCTGACTCCCCATACATAGCCCTAAGAGAAGGGGAGAAAACTGAAATGTTGAATGGGAAAACACGCAGCCAGGCCAGTAAGTGGACTCAAACCTAGGACTCTCTGAGGTCAACATACATGCTCTGCCCACTGAAGTATGCTGGCACTGCCTTTGAGGGACTCATGGTGTTTTGTGGATGATACACCTATCTATTCAACACTCTCCAACAGCACTGCACATCCATCCATTCACACTGCTCATACCACTTCCCTTCTTTCTTCATTTATCAAAAAGTTACCTTTCCATGCTTCCTTTTTCTTAAGTTCCTCCTATGTCTACCATCACCCCCTCAGATTCAGATGACATCAGGTTAGTCATATTCTGAGGCAGCCACTTTCATCCCTCCCAACTAATTTTCATCACCATTACGGTCATGCCCTGAGTAAGTTGTGTGAACTCAGGTCCCTTATGTGCACTCTGTTATTCCATCCTCAGGGATACTCTACAGAGTTACTGTACTCAGAGGAAATAGACTCAGAGAAGGTAAGTGACCTCCTGATGTCTCAGCCTCAATTCTGCTACTGCCTCAACAAATGACCTTGGTTTAGCCTTTTCTCTTGCTAGCCTTCAGTATCTCCATCTCTCAGATGACAGATCAGACTAAATTTAGCTCTGAGGTCCTGTGAGTTGCAATCTTTGTGGGCTTCAGTTTCCTCACATGAGGAATGGATATGAGATCAATTGCCCTGCCCAATTCTCAGGGAAATTGTGAGAAATTAGTGCAACACTGGGTGGGAGTGGAGGAAGCAGTGTACAAATCAGAATTACACATTCTCTCTCCATACTCCATGAATATCTGAGAGGGGAGGGGTTCTAGAATGCACCTGGGACAAGCTCTTAATCATGCAACTTTGAGCACTGTGACTTTGGGGAAGTCAATTCATTTCTTTGAGTCACCATATAGACAGAATTGAACAGTAGATATGTGGACAGTATCTGAATCCAAAGAATCCTCACCAGTGAGGAAATTGAGGACCACACACAGGAAATGACTTGCCAAAAGTAAGGCCCCCAAGTTTCCTTGTTTTTTGATGATTAAGATGACTCTTAATTACAGGTACTCTTTATTTTGAAACTAGCATCATAGAAAAAGCCAGGTTTATAAGACATTGCAGACTTCAGATATAAGTTACCATTGTCCTAATGTACTCTCAAAATATTATGAAAATATGAACACTGTACCATTTATATCAGAAATAGACTCCCACACCTAAAGAACTAGAAGAAGGTTTTGGGTTTCATTATTGCTATACTGAACCCTAAGTGACTCATCTCCCCACTACCCCTCTGCAAGGTATGTCCAGTTGTCTAGAGATGGGCATTGGGTACCCATCACGCGCCACCCTCATTGA